GTGTGGGGCCGGAGGGTCTCGCCCCCAACCAGAGAAGCCTCCCCACCGCTGAGGTGTCCCTCATGGGGTTCGCCCTCTCTCGTCCCCACCCCTCCTACCGGACTTGACGTGGCCTCCTCTTTAAGTCCTTTGTTTAGAGGTTCTGTTCATCTAGGGTCCAGGGAACTTCTGAGGTTGAATATCTTATAAATTATTTGTAATTTTGTTGTGATTCTGGGAAGTAGTTGGCACAGCGTCTGTCTATTCCGCCATCTTACCGGAAGTCCTCTGTTTTTCTTTTAGGACTCCATCCCTGTGTCCACCTCCCTCCTCGGAGACACTTCCGACACGACCTCCATTGGCCTTGCCCAGCGCTTAGGTACGTACCCACAGTGGGGCTGCAAGAGCAGCTGATGAGGCCTCACTGTTTAATGGAACCATGAGGCAAGTTACTGTAGAAATAAAGGGTATTATATACTGAGAGATAGTGAACTCATCCCTATGGGATAAGCTCAGACCTTTGTATACCAGGTTTTCTTTAAGGAGAGCATATCCATGCCCACGTGGTACCACTGCTGTCTCAGGCCCAGCATGTTCCCAGGGGACTTCCATGTCCTTGGCTGTTGTCCAAGCCAATGAGTGACAGGTGATTTAGCTCCCTTCTGGAAGGACATTACCAACTTGTGGAGGAGAGAATGTGAATGATGCCCATAGTACCCAGTGGGCAGTGGCTGCAGGGAGCCTCCTGGGCCTCCCCAGGGATTCAGTGGAGCCTGTGGAGCAGGGTGCCAGCACTGTGCCGGAGGGACTGTCTTTCATTCCCTGTGAGATTATTCAGAGTTCAGTAGGGAGACTGGTCTGGCTTGAGTGTGACATAGAGCCAGTGTTAAGCAAGATCATGAGGCTGAAGGCTCTACCCTCTCCCACACCCCAAACACACACTTCCTGTAAATACCCAGGTAGCTCAGGTAAGGACAGCATGTGTTCTGCCCTTGGCCATGGTCACCAGGTCATCACAGGTTGCCCAGGGACCTTGAACAGGAGGGCAGCCTGTGTCTCCTCTTCAGTCTTCGTGTTTACCACTGTTCCCAGTCAGTTCAGTTCTAGTGCCAGCTCTGGAGCCCCTGTGCTGGTCCTGGGGGGTGTATGGTGAATGGGACCCAGCCCCTATATTTTAGTTGTGTTGACAGTTCTATCCACTTGATCCCTGGTAAGTGGGAATTTATATGCCAGTCACTCTGGAATATACCCATGTAAACAGCTCAGCCACACAGTTCAGGTGGATTATGATGTTGTGGATGGGTTGAGAGGAGGTCGGCCTAGACTTGCCACACTGAGTTCTCTGCTTGAATAGGGTGAAGACCATGAAGGCAGCTGCAGCTACTGTACTTTTCCTTCAGCCTGAAATTAGAGAAACCTGACTAGTAGGTTATTTTGGTGACTTCTTATTAGGAAGTAATTTTAAATTTACAGAAAAGTTGCAAAAAAAGATACAAAATTCCTGCTTAGCCTTTACCCACATTCCTAGCTGTTATCATCCCCTCTGTGTGTTTACATCATTGTTTTTTCTGAACCACATGAAAGTAAGTTGAAGACACGATTGCTTCCACGTGCTTCACTGTGTATTGCCCGTGTTTAAGGGGCAACACTCCTGTGCCACACAGTGCCCTGTCTGGTGCGGTGAAAACTTGGGGTTGTTTATAGTTCTAGGGACAGAAAACTCGGTGGATCGCCAGTGTGGATGACAGATTGTGGTTGTTCAGGGTGGCGAGAGCTTCTTTGGCGTGCACAAATAAATTGTTTATGCCAATAAAGGTAGATGGGCTCAGGGGTGTCCTTGAGATGGAGGCCTGGTTGTTTGTATGCCAAAAATGGGTTCTGTTTTTTTTTTTCTTTGAGTTTTGTGGAAATGTTGGGGCTTTTTAAAATTAACGTTTTCCTCTCATGTGGTTTACATCAATTTATAATAATCTACACTAATTGAAATAGAACAAAAAGTAATATCCTTACCAACTTATTAAGGTCAAATATTAATGAAGGGTCCCATCCTGCCTGTATCAGCAAAAACTGGCAGCTCTTAGCCATTGCCCAGGCACACAGAAAAAGCTTGAAAAGTCAGTGTTGTAGTGTGGCTGCTGCCATCACCAAAAGGTGGTGACACAGTGTTAAGAGAAAGGTGCTGTCCAGTGCAGCCCTGTGGTGTTGAAATATGCATTGCTTTGTTATGCATATTAGTTGAAAGTGCATTATTGTTATGCATATTAGTTGAAAATACATTATTAATCATGTCAGTTGTCTAGAGGGAGAAGGAGAAGAGAGCATTGTCCCGAAACATTATCTTCTATGGAAGATGAAAAGAAGTTGCAAAAGAGATGATCTATAGAGGGTTCTGAGTAATGCTGGAGGGCTGTAGTGTGGATGGGGATCCCCTCACTCTGTGTAGCTCTGGAGGGCAGAGCTGGGTTTGCTGGGCGGACAATGCCCGAAGACACACTTTTGCTCTCTGTAAGACCCTGTCTTAGCAAGTAGAGCAGTTGGGATCAGAGTAACCCCCTTTGGGGACTGAATTTCCTGCCACTGAGCCAGTGTGACTTGACAGGCCCCAGCCTCACCTCTCCTCACCTTCAGCACCTTTTGCCTTTGATGCTAGGCCTGGCATGGTCATCTGAAGTCTGTGGGGTGGCAGGGTGGGGTGCGTGCCTCTGTGGGGAGGGGGAGTTTGCTCCTGCCCTGCATTTGGGGTGAGGCCCAGGAAGGAGGTCCTAGCTCTGGTACAGTCGCAGTATTTAACTGCTTTAAGCTTACTGCCTGACTTGTCTGCGGGATATTTGTCTTATTTTTCAGGTGTGGGCATGTGATTCTGTTTGATTTCTGTATTTGGGAGCAGTACACCTCAACTATTGGGTTGCTGGAAAAGTCATGATGCATTTTTGCAACGAAAAACAGAAAAAATACGTCATGACTCTTCCAACGACATAGAGAGGGACTAAAATGTGTATTCAGCATCAAATTGAAAATTAGACATTTGTGTGTATGTGTATGTACATGTGCCGAAATGTAGAACTGTAGGATTATCTCTGTGAGGATGGTGGGACTGGGAGGGTGGTACTGAAGGGGAACTTTAATATTTATTTTAAATACTTGAATGTTATCGGTGTTTTTGAAAAGTCAAACCAACTAACCAACCATTTACGTGGGCAGTGGCTCTTAGGCGTCAGTATATGGATCCCCTGGAGGGCTTGTGGACATAGATTGCTGGCCCCAACCTCAGCTTCTCTGATTCAGTTGGCCCGGGGGGCGGGGGGGGGGGGCTAAGAATCTGCATGTCTACCAGGTTCCCAGGGGGTGCTGCTGATGTGGGCACCACATTTTAAGAACTCCGGTTCTAGTAGCTAGGAGAGGGTCCAGATAACTTTAGTCTGCATTTGCAGCGGCTGTCTGTGAAAAGCCATAAAAATTAGAACTTTCTTCTCTCCCTGAAACCCCCTTCTCTTCCAGGCATTTCTCAGCTGTGAGGGAGGCTTGAGGCACATAGAACCTCTGGTATTTCAGTCATGGATGTGTCGATGTGTTTTCTTTTTAGCCAGGAAGACCAACAAGCAGGTGTTTGTCAGCTATAACCTTCAAAACACAGACAGTAACTTCGCATTACTTGTAGAAAACAGGATCAAGGAAGAAATGGAAGCTTTTCCTGAAAACTTCTAGCTGAGTGGCAGAAGTGAGGATTTGTAACTTATGTACAATATACATTTAAATAAATGAATTGAATTTCACTGTCACCAGGTTGATGTGTTTACATTTGTTTTTAAAGGGTTCATCTATTAATTTTCCTTCTTCCCCTCACCAGAGTGTAGGCCACAAGGCTGTAATTGATCTAGTTGGGGAAGGAGAAAAGCAAAATGGGCAGTAGTTTCCTTGTGACTGCTCAATAATGGAGAAAAGGGGTTAAAATGAGATTTTGTTGGGATTGAAGGGGGCTGATTAGATTGAAGGGTTAAATTGGTCATGCTTCTGTTGTCCATTTCCAATTAGAATTAAGATAATAAATCTTTATAAAATATGCTTCAGGTTATCTCTTTGCCTTCCGGTTCCAGCCACGCCCTTCCCCAGCATGTCTCTTCCGGCTTTGCTCTCCCTTGGGCCTGGGTATGAGCCCACTCCTCATTGGTCAATAGATTTGTGGTCTGGGTGGTCTCTAACTTTGCTGGGTCCTGAATAATCTCCACTCTGGGGTTATTGTTAGGTTTAAATACACAGAAATACTTTGCAAACTCTAAGTGCCATGGAAAGTAAGATGTCAATTGTGGTTTTATCTGCTTCATTTTTGTGGATCCAAATGCTTGTTCTTCCTTCTCTTTCATTGTCTTTCCTTCTCCCTTTTCTTTTTTTCTCAAGTTCCAGGTACCTGCTTTGGCCATATTTAGTCCTTAGCCTTTTTTTTGCCTGCCACTTGAGGTGGATTCCAATCTTTCTAGTGCTACATGCTACACATTTTTTTGTTTTCACATCTTTCCCCCAAAACCAATATTTTATGGGTCAGTGGCTCCTAATCCTGACTTCACATTAGAATCTCTAGGGTTGTTTTCACAGGTTGCCTATGCCTGACCCTTCCCCAGAGACTCAGATGGCCTGGGGCCCAGGCTTTGGCTGGGTTGAAAAGCTCCCCAGGTGCTTCTCAGCACAGGCAAGGTTGAGGACCCCTGAAAAAGAACTTTCTAATCTTCGGGGTCCATTTGAACCCTTCTTGTTACTGGTAGAGGTTTAGGGCTCTGTAACACATTTCATGCAGTGGCAAAAGGCTTGCACGGAGCCACTGCTAAGCAGCCAGAGGTGGTGACACTTTGGCCAGGACATAAAGACATTTGAGAGGAGTACATCTGGGGTTTAAGATGCTTCCCTCTTTAGCAGGTGTCCTCTGCTAACCTCCGAGGCCTCAGCCAGCATCATCGTAGCTTGGAAGCACAGTGGGCACCTCTCTAGGAAGAGTAAGTAACACAAAATCAGGGCTATGGAGAGAAGAGTTTGGTATAAATGCTTTATTAGAGAAACATTTTCTTGTTAAAAAATACTACATTAAAGAAGAGCATTTTGGGTTATCAGTCTTTCCTCACAGAGTCACAGTGTAAGATAATAATTTCTTGACCTCTCTAGGAACTTGCGGGCCATGGATTAGCAGGACATCAATATACAAGAGAAAAGAACTCTTAAACTTACTGATGGCCCATTTCTCAGGGGGCTGAGAAGGGCACTAAATAAACAGTGTATGTTTAATCCTATGTCTGCCTCTGCCTGCCTTTAAGACTAGGACTGTGCAATCAGATGCGAGACCATCCATCATTCCCAGGCTGAGCGGAGACTCGGTTTACAGAGGCGCCAAAGTAGGGACGCAGCAAGAGCTGAATAAACAGTTTTTATTACTTGTAGTCAATGGTCGTGAAATGCCCTTCATTGGATACCATCAGATGAGGTAGGGAAGACATTGCAGAGGAAATTTGTTAATGGGGCAACATTTTTATTTCTGTACATTTACACACAAATTTTCCCCAAAGGTACAACAGATGCGACATCATGCAGACATTAGCTTTGAACGACAATTCAGAACTCTATTTATGCTTGTGCTATGAGTGAGCACCTCCAGAGCGATCCCAGGTGACATGTATAGTAACACGGTTCTTACTAGACACCTCAAATGTTGGGGCTGTAGAGAGACAGGGGGAGGGAAGTATTCCCACTAGACATAACACACTGTGCTGCTTTTCCAAAACAATACATTAAAGTGAGGTGTCCTTTAAAGGAAAGGGTTGAAGTGTAGGCCTGCCCCAGCACGTGTGCCACCGAGGGGCTGGGCGATGTGATGGTCACACAGTTCATTTAATGGCACTTCAGTCATTTCTTGTTTGGCTCTAGGAAGTGGTAATGTTTGAGTGCAATACTTCCTTTACAAGGTTTATGTTTGCTTCCTGTTGTAATCAAAACAACTTACCAGCCCCTTTCCTCTAGTTGCAAGTGATTATACTTTAGAAAACAAAACATTTAAAACTTTTTCTTATTTGTCTTGGGTGCTAGTATATAGGGTATTTGAGAAGAGTTATTACTAACTGCTGGAAAAGAACAAATGAGCTCTCCAGCCCTGTCGTAGGTGTTCACATTTGTGCGTAACTTTTATTGAAAAGGTATCACAGCTCCCTGATGGGACAGCAAGATGCAGGAGTGGCTGGTGGAGGAGAGTAGCTGCAGCACATACCTGGGACTGTTGCCCCGGACAGCGGGGGTGGAGGTGGTAGGGAGGTCAGACGGGAAACGGCAGGTGCCTGAGAAGTACTTCCCTCCTGACCATGAAGGAAACAGGACTGAGGAGTCCAAGCATGACCAGCAGGTGCTAGGTCACTGGTGGCCGCAGACCCCTCCCACGCAGAGCAAGGCAGAACCGAACATGTGTCATGCTCTGGTGGGCCCCTGCTGCCTTGCCCACTTGGTGTAGGATTTCATGGGGTTCAGCCCACAGAGAAGCTTTTCTGCTTTGGCTACATTTCATAAAGGTGTTCCTCAAGAGCTTCAGCTATCCTCAAGGTGAGCTAGTAACAGAATGGGAGTTCCGCCTAGTCCTGAGGCTGCCGGGAAAGCAGAGCCGTGAGACCTCTTGGCCCAGAGATGTCACCTATAAAATGTCAGCAAGTCAACCTCGTTCACATCTGCTAGACCTTGGTCCCAAGAACCCAGTCCTCACAGCTGGCTTCTCTTCTGGTCATCCGGGAGTTAGTCCTGATTGCTGAAGTGACACTGCTGTCTCCATTGGACCAGTATTTTTATTGTCATTTAAGATGGAGATTAGAGACTTGGGAGCAGGAGTTTGTAAGTGCTGTTCCTCGCCTCTGTCTTCCTAACTACCAGCAGCACGCCACACCTTCAATGTTTCTTAAAGAAGGTCTCACAAGTCCTTCTGTAGTACAGTAAAGGGACTGTAAGATGTCCTAGTGCTGGGGTGATGGATGCAGACAAGTACCTGGCCAGGTGCGGGCCCAGGACCTCACTGGCTCCGTCCCACCTTCCCCAACTGCCCAATGGCTTGGCCGCTGCCTGTGTCATGTCCTGGACTTAATGGGTCTTGCTGCCAGGTGGCTTTCTACCAAGTACTCTAAAGAAGGCAAAAGGTATTTCACAAGTTTGGCACGCGAAGGCTGCACATTTGTAAAGGCCTTTTTAAAGTAAGGTGAATGTGACTAACATTGAAACATGGAACAAAAGTGACTTAGATGACAGAAGACAAGATGAGCTGGGCTTGGGGCAGGTGGAACTGGGGACACTGGCCAGATGTCTTGCCTTCCTGGGCAGCCGGCCCTTGGACGAGGCTGGGCACCCCAGGCCCCGCTGTAGAGACAGAAAGTGTGCTTTACTCACTGGAATCACACATGCCTGCAAGCATATTCACCTCACAATGTTTTTATCAAGTCAGCAGGCTTCTGTTGATGTCTACCAGATTTGGAGGAGAGTAGTGGGTGGAGACAAGCAGAACAAGTAGAAAGCAGAAGGGGAGAAAGGGAACTTGAGTCAACCTGTTTTTAGGCCCTTTGAGTTCCAGTAACCGTCAGCTGGAGGTCACACAGACCCGAGACTACGATTTCCCTGGAAGAACACAGCCCATGGCAAAGTACATGTCACAAAGTGGGAGGTGGACAATCCTAGAAGGAACCTAGGCTGTCCAAAATATCAGATGCCTATGTTGCTACACGGTGGCGCCTGCCTGTGCCAATGAAGCTTGTTTCTTAGTGGCCCTCTGGGATTCCTTGAGGAGGCCCTCCAAGTTTCCTCTGAAACACGCCTCAGACAGGTGGAGAAAACCTGATGTGAAAAGGCAAGAGGAAGCCTTTACTGTGTGGAATAAAATGAAGAACACAATGAAAACCCTTGGATATTGGGAATGGGGGTAAGAGTTAAACTTTGGTGAGTTATTGCTTTCTCTCAATTGGTCTTGATGCTTTAAGAGGCTGGAGGACTAACCTGTGAGAACCCCACTCCTTGCCCTAAGCCCCACCTCTGTGCTGACAAAAGTGACAGGAAGTAGGCAAAGGCAGGCATGAGGGGGACTGTCTCCCACAGGCTTTGCAGTCCCTCAGTGTGAAGTCAGTGAGAGCTGAGAGTCATCCAAGCTGGTGATTTCTACATGGTGTGTGCTCGAGATGTGGGTGACGGGCCATATTTGGGAGAGCACCCCTTACTTCTGTGGGTTTGACTTAGTCATCTATTTCAGTTCTTTTCTTATTGGTTTTAGTCCAGAAAGTAGCCATGTGTACTGTGGAAGAGGGAACTTTTCTGCTGCAGCTAAATCTGCAAAGGAATATTAATAACGTTAACATGTCTCAGACCTCAATACATTTGCTAGTTGTGATCTTAACTAGGCAAACTTGTGTCAGAAAACTGGTGACACTACCACTAATTATTTGAGATTTGGGCTGAAATGTTTAAGCTTTATGCTAAAGAGCTTCTAGCATCAAGTACAGAAGGATGGTCTCGAAAGAAAGACTAAGCTGGTTTTAATGGTGTTTGTGATCAGCTTTCCCCCAACACATGGAACAGAAGCTTTGACCTTACAAATAGAGAAAAACCTTTACAAACCATACACAGACTCTAGCAAAAACCTAATCATTTACATTTCACTCTGTCTAAACTGCAGTCATGGAACTGCTCCATGATGGGCTGGGTCTCTGTACACAGGCAGGCAGCCTTGGGACGCAGCTCTGGCCGGCACAGGTGACATCTGGTTGCTCTGAGGGACTGTGGGTGAGAGTGTGAGAGTGGCCGGCTGACCTGCAGGGAGCCGGCTGGCCGCTGTGCTTGGTTACTTACAGCGTCTTCCTCCTCGGGAAGCTGGCTCCCTCTTCTGAAGGAGGTGGAGGAAAGGGAATAAAGTGCTTCTCGTAAAAATGACCAAAATAAATAGAAACATTTAATGGCAGAAAAGAAAGTTTTTGAAGGGTTATTTTCAAAGAGTTTGCTTCCTCAAACCCACAATCCTTAGAGTTTTGGAAAGACAGAATTTCCCCACACCAGTTGAAAGTCTCACGATTCCGCGGCGTCAGAGTTGGGTTTTCTTGTCCCAGCCACGTGTAGGTCCTTGTCTGTAAACCTGTGCCCAAACAGCCCCTGAATCTAGGAACCCACAGCGCCCCCTTCAGGGCAGGCCGTGCCCAGAGCTACAGGACTTCATGCCGTTGGCCCTGGCATTGTCAGGCAGCCCGTCCCCCGCAGTGGAGGCAGCGGCCACGTCGTGGAGGCCGGAGTAGTCCTTGAGCTCGGCATTGGTGAGCAGGAGGGGCTGCTCCCCCTTCTTGTGCGGCAGGAGCGGCTGCCGCGTGTAGTGCTCCCCGTTGGAGATGTTCTCGGGCAGGTTCTGGTTCCGGCTCTCAGGCAGCAGGAGGATGCAGATGATGCAGATGAGCGTGCAGCAGGCGAAGATGATGTGGTGCAGGAAGTAGCCTTTCTGGTTGTGCAGGTCGATGATGGGTGCCGTCAGCATGCCGAAGCCCGCGCTGGCCAGCACCAGTCCCAGCCCGCCGCACCTAAAGGAGGGCGCGAGCACACACGGTCAGTGCCCATGGTCAGACCCAGGCGCAGAGGGGCACAGTGGCTCCTGGAGTGTGGACACGTCTGGACCGGGATCACGGGGCAAGTACATGGCAAACCAGGGAAGCCCGGCTTGGGCAGTGGTCATCAGGGCCCTGGGCCCCACAACAGTGCATCTTCCCACTGGGGCACTCAAACCACCTTCACCTTGGCCGTATCTGGATACCACCTCTAGTTCGGTTAATATTCTCTCGTCAACTCAGAACTCTTTTATTTTGAAGGACAACTGTATAATATCACTGTAAATGGAAAACCAGTATAACTTGCCATAAATAATATATGTAACAATGACAAGCACAGTATTATCAAATTATGCTATCTTCCCAAAGCTTGCCCTTCGTTTAGAAAAGGGGTCTTGTGGTGGTGGGGTGAGGGTAGGGTGGGGATGACCCGGGTTAAGGAGTCATTAAAGACACACCAACACTAACATACTTTCTCCCTGCCACAATCAGAGAGATTGGAAGATACTTTAAAAAACAGTAATTTTCTCACTGTGAGTTGATGTTATCTATTGTTGTGTCCCATGTAGTTCCTAAAATCATTTTGCACACCACCAGTGGAAACTGTCCCATCTCTGGGAAATGTTTTGCCAGAAGCCATGTACCGACTGAGAGTAATTGACTGTAGTACTGAGCTCAGAAAGTACTCAATGCAAGCCTCGCGCTTGAGACATTTACCTCCACTCTTCTGCCATAGGAGGGAACCTATCAAAAGTTCCAAAGGGATTAGTAGATACACAATATGTGAAAAAACTGTTATAATGCTAACATCTAGTTTGACATAAAGGTATGTTATTGGGGAGAAAGTTTTATGTGGATACGGAGAAAGCAGTGTGGTGCTTTGCTGGGCTGCAGTAAAGAGGACCATGGTGTTCAGGTGACAGGAGGTAATGGTCCCACTGTGCCCTCACTGCACAAGCCAGACAGGGCTGGACAGTCAGCTCTGGGGTCATAATGAAGGGGCCAGGTGAGGAGGTCTTGTCACAAGTAAGGGGAAATACAGTTGTCTGCCTCTCCTTAGAGAGCAGATCCAGACCAGTGGGCAGAAGGTACAGGGATGTGGATTTCGGTTGGTTTAAGAAACTTTCAAATGGAGCGGCTAAGTAGTTGGGTACTATCCTTTAGTAAAGTGATCTTTATTCCTGGATGTGCTTAGGCAGAGAAGGGCTGAAGGGGAGGCCCCTGCAGCGTGTAGGAGACGGATGTGAGCTCCCAGGTCCCGAGGAGCCTGGGATTCTCTCGGTTGATACTGTAAATGCCTCTGACTCACAAAAACACTGTCCTACAAGGACACAAGATACAAGATCAACATACAAAAGTTGACTGTATGTCTACATGCTAGCAACAAACACACTGAAGATGAAATTAAGAAAACTCCATTCACAATAACATCAAAATAAAATACTTAGAAATAATAAAAGAAATGCAAGACATGTATGCTGAAATCTATAAAACGTTACTGAGAGAAACTTAAAAAGATAAAAATAAATGGAGAGGCATTCCATCTTCATGGATTGGAAGGCTTAGTATTGTTAAGATGGCAATTCTTCCTGAATTGATCTATAGATTCAACACAATCCCTATCAAATTGCAGTATGACCTATTTTTTACAAAAAATGATAAGCTGATCTTAAGATTTATATGGAAATGCAAAGGACTCAGAATAGCTAAAAAATTTTTTGAAAAATAACAGAATCTGAGGACTAACTTTTCCAATTTCAAAACTTATGATAAAGCTACAATAATTAAGGCAGTGTGGTATTGGTGTATGGATAGATCAAGGGAACAGAATTGACTGTTAGAAATAAACCCGTACATTTATGGTGAACTGATTTTTGACAAAGGCAAATGCAATGGGGAAAAGATAGTCTTTTTAACAAGTGGTACTGGGACAATTGGATATCCACATGCAAAAGAATGAAGTTGGACTTTTACTTCATATCATATACAAAAATGAACTACACATAGACATAAACATAAGAGCTAAAACTGTAACACTTCTAGAAGAAAAAAAATCTTTGTGACCTTAGGTTAGGAAAAAGATTTCTTACATATGACATCAAAAGCTGGATCTATAAGGAAGGAAAAAGATCAATTGGACTTTATCAACATTAAAAAGGTCTGCCCTCCAAAATATACCTTAAGAAAATGAAAAGACAGGCCATACTGGAAGGAAATGCTCACAAAGCATATCTGATAAAGGACTTGTATCCAGAATATATAAAGAGCTCTCAGTAAGAAGAAAACCCAAATTAAAAAAATGGGCCAAGGATTTAAATAGACATTTCTCTAGAGAAACTATGTAACTATAAAATACCCAATAAGCACATGGTAAGATGTACATCATTAGTCGTTAGAGAAATGCATATCACAACCACAATGAGATACCATTTCACACACACTAGGATGGCTATAATAGAGAGGACAGACACTATGAAGTGCTGACGAGGATGTGGAGAACTAGAACCCTCATACATTGCTGGTAGGAAAGAAAAATGGTGTAGCCACTATGGAAAAACTTGGCAGTTTCTTAAAAAGTTAAATATAAACTTTTGTGTGATCTAGCAATTCCACTCCTATGAAACATATGAAAACATGGCCATATAAAAACTTATCAGCAAATGTTCATTGTTGCATTATTCATAATAGCCAAAAACTGGACTAAATTCAAATGTCCATCAACAGGTGACTGGAGAAACAAAATGTGGTATGTCATATACAGTGGGATAGTGTTCAGTGATAAAAGGAACATGTGAATTTCAGAAATGTTATGCTAAGTGATCATATGATTCCATTTATATGAAATGTCCAAAAGAAGGCAAATCTATAGAGATATAAAGCAGATTAGTGGCTGCCTGGCACTGGGAGTGGGAACAGAGACTGCAATGGGCTGTGAGGGAACTTTCTGAGGTGATGGAAATGTTCTATAACTGGATTGTGGTGATGACTGCACAAAAAGTTACTCAACTGTATACTCAATAAAAATGGATGAATTTTATGGTGTGTAAATTATACCTCAGTAAGGCTGTTAAGAAAACCCCAAAACTGTTCTGGCTGTGGGGGCTAGGGCCTCCTGTTGATACAAATCCCCAAAGCTTCTAGTCTAGGATGGCCACCCAGGCCTTACCTTCTCTTCCTGAGAACTCAAGAGACTCTCCAGCTTGCCTCTGCCTGTCACCCTTGCTGCTCAGGTGGGGGGTTCTGCTCTGCTTTGCCCACCATGGGGCTGAGCAGCAGGTCCTCCCTAGGACCTTCTCAGGGGCTTTCCTGTCACCAATGAGGGGAGAGAGTCCTTGCCTTCGCTCCCTGCTGTCCTGCTACAATAGGTCCTCTGGTTGGCCAGTCCTGAATCAACAGGGTGACAGGAACAAGGGGCACTCAGGCAGGGAGGGCGATGTCTTAGGGCTCCCCAGGTGGACAACTGTACCCGAGGGCCACCTTAAATAGGACACACAGTTCTATGGTAAAGAGGGCTGAGCATAGCCTTGCAAACATTTTTCTCAAAGAACAAAACATAAGAATGACAATTGTGTGTACACGGGTGGCACAATGGGTGGTCTTCCTTCCCCATTTTGTCATGTCTAATAAAAAAATAGAAGATACTTCTCTCTCCCCTTTTTTCTCTCTCTAAATTAGGAATGGCCTTGTATGTTTGCCAAGGGTGTTGCCTCAAGCACAGCGGGGAGGGGCTTCTTCACTTCCTTTGTGCTGGGTGAGGAGGTGATGTGGTGTGGGGAACAGTTCTCTGTGGGTACCCTGCAGGCGAAAGCCTGGGGCTGAGTTGGGAGAGGGACACTCTCACCAGGCACACTACCCTATGGACAAAGCCAGAGCCTGCGAGTCCATGACTTCACTTTCCCAACCCCTTTCCAGTCCAACCAGTGACCAAGCCCTGATGGCTTCTGGTTCAGTCTCATCTGGGTCACACCCCGCTAACTGGTGTATCTCTTGCAGGGATCTTCCTCCCATCACCTCAGACTTTCTTTCCTCCCTGCTGCCAAAGTGACCTTTCTAGAATATAGAGCTGATCATGCCATGCACTTGCTCCAAGTCCTTCAATGGCTCCCTCTTGCATCCAGATAATGCAGTTCCTCAGGGCTCTCCCTCTCTCTGCTGTGCTCCCGCCTTGCCCTTCGGTGGACCCTCTCCCCCACCACTCTTGGCCACAGAGTTCTTCACTCTCTCCTTCCCTCCTTCTGTGAGGTTCTCTCACCCTGGCTTGGCTAAGCTCCCTGGGTGCTTCGAGCCCGGCTTCCCTGGACAGATAACTGTCTCCTCAAATGCGTCTAGAGAAGGAGTCGTGGCTTTTCACCTGGGGTTCCCATGCCTGGCACAGTTCCTGAGACAGAGGCTTTGCTAGTGTTTGTTCAGTAAGAGCAGCGGTTCTCAACCTTCCTAATGCCGCAGACCCCTTAATACAGTTCCTCATGTTGTGGTGACCCCCAACCATACAATTATTTTCGTTGCTACTCTATAACTGTCATTTTGCTACTGTTATGAATCGTAATATAAATATCTTTTTGTTTTCCGATGGTCTTAGGCGACCCCTGTGAAAGGGTCGTTCGACCCCCAAAGGGGTCGCGACCCACAGGTTGAGGACCGCTGAGTTAGAGGATTGTCAAGACTGGAGCAGTCAGCAATCAGGGCTGCCCTAGCCTTGAGCAAAGCCATAGACACAGGCCAGGCCAGAGCGAGCTGCAATAGACTCTCCTTGCTACATAGGTGGGAGGTGCAATGGTTAAGAGAGCTGGTTCAGGAGCCAACTGGGTCAGAATTCTGGCTTCACCACTGACAGCCTCAGTGGGGTCCTTGAGATGGGGGTGAGAAGAGCACGGGAGCACTAGTGTAACAGGCTGGGTACAGAAAGTGCTGAGTACAGGTTGGCTGCAGTTATTTCTCCAGTTGTCTAAGCTCTCTTCCCCTTCTCTGCTGGCTCC